AACCTGTCATTGTACATCTTGAATGTTTGACTCAATTTTTCCTCACCAACCTAAACTGAATAAATAGAAACATGAAATTTATTTGTTCTCCTTTTGAGGTGTGCATCAAAATTTTGAAGTCATCACAGGCTTAAACTATAGGTTTACAGGAAATCTGCATGTGCATGTGTTTTCAACATCTGAAACTGGTATTATGACTACTTCAAAAGACTTTACTACATGCCATATAGGTACAGGCAGGTATTGTAAAAAAAGTTTGCTTAGCTTTTTCATTAGTACGCATTTCTTTATCTAAGAACCTTGTTTATCCACTGAGCCTGTGCTGAATTCCAATTTTCAACCAAATTTTATTATTATTATATGTAAGACGCTGTAATTTAGATGTTGCACCAGATAACTCGCCCTACATTACAAGTCAATCACCCAGTGAACAAAAGCAAATGTCTTTGAAGGAAAACCTGAAGAGGGAATGCTCTAGACATAATAACTTTGTTCATTTTGTCAGAATGTTAAATCTGTAAATAAACCAGGGCAAGCTAGGGCAAGTTCGAATTCCGTCTGGTGTTGTGTCCAATGTTATGCCAAGTCAACCGTTCGGAAATCACGCTTTTATTTTAGCGTTGGCAACTGCATCTGGAAGAGGCAAGCAGAACTATAAATCAAACTCGTGGAAGTTCTGACAACGATCCACTGATAAATAAAGATAGAAAGTGAAGCGGTAAACCAAAACACATCCGTAAGCTAATGTTGACAAAAGGGGATAAAGATATTTCGTTGCTTAATAATATACATGGAAAAATTACTCAGTTCTGATTGGTTAAGATAAATGCAGTTTTCAGGTAATTCAGTGCAGAAGAGAGTTAATTCAGTGCCGAAGAGGGTTAATTCAGTGCAAAGAAAGAAACAAATCAGACATTCCCATTGGTCAATAATCAAAGAAACTGACAGATACCCAATCAAATGCGGGTCTTGGATGTCGCAACAAAATTTGAAAATTTGAAAATTTGCAAGCGAAACAATGGCCGGCGTTCTAAGTGGGCTTTCTTTCGCCACCGCAGCGGAAAAACAGCTTAAACAACGAAAATGCTGTAAAAACACTGCTTTTGGGTTGTCGGTTTGGAAAAAGTGGTGTTTAGAGAAGGAAATTGCCAAGGAAATCGAAAATTACGACCCAGCTTAGCACTTTGCTCGAACGATCCACCGCCGAAATTAAAAACAAATAGGTTAAAACTCCATTTCATCGAAAGTGATTCGGACACAGACTGAACAATTCCTTGAACTGCTTAGCCGGACTTTGAACTTTTTTTGCGCCTTAAAGATGTGAAGATATCATTGCATATTATTGTTTTGATCGTACGCGGTTGTTTTGACCGAACGCACGATTTAAATAAATTATTTTTGCACTTGATGCGCACGCTTTGCTTATGCTTAATTTTGATGAGCCCTCTCGTATTTTGCCATGTATATTATTAACACGTAATCACATGATTTTCTCGCGCAATTTGGAATAAACAAGCACTTGTTAATTTTTTCAAAGACCACAAATTGCACTCGCCCTACGGGTTCGTGCAATTTTGTTAGTCTTTCAAAAAATTTACTCGTGCTTATTTATTCTAAATTGCACTCGAAATCTTGTGATTACCTATACAAACAAACTACTTGAAAAGGACAATTTTGACGTATAATCCTGAAATAGCACCTTAGACCTCAGACCGTATGCTCACACTATCAAGTTGGTTTTAAGAATGACTTAACGCCATTTCTTAGAGCATTCTCGGCCTAAATTGAGGTATTGGTTTTCGGACACTATTTTGATTAATTAAAAAGGTAGCAGGCTTCACGCTGTCATCGAAGAGACAGTCTGTCTCAAGTATTTTTTTTGTTTTGTTTTGTTTGTTTTTTTTTTCTCTCACGCAGTTGCATCAGTGGATTCTTTTTAATTTCTTAGGAAATATTTTCAGATTTTCTGTTTATGAGTTCTGGGAGAATATTCACTTAAAGTTAAAAGGAACTTGTAAAATGCAATTCATTTGTTTTTATGAATAGTAAACTTATTCTGAAATACTTTCTACATGATGAACAGCGACAATAATTTCCAATGGTCCGATTGACACCATTGTGGCTGAGTATCACAAAGGAGCTGATGGAGCGTTTTAATGAAACCGTTTCGTAGTGACAACAAAATTACTCGAACTTAAATCGCGACAAGGCTATCAAGTACTCGTTGCTTCTAAACGCACCTGGCCACTAAGATCACAAGATTTATTTTTTGCCTTAAAAGAGGTTCCAAATTTGATTTCAGCTAAATCTTTTTTTTTTCAGCTGAATGGTCGAGGTCATGATTGTGCCTTGAGTTGGCATAGAACACTATTGTTTCGGCACAATAATGTATGTAAGACGCTGTAATATAGATGTTGCATTAGATAACTCGCTCTACATTACAAGACAATTACTCGGTGAACAAAAGTAAATGTCTAATACACTTGAAGAAAAACCTGAAAAACGAATGCTCTACACATTATTACTTTGCACATTTTGTCAGAGTATTCAATTTGTAATTCCGTCCGGTGTTGTGACAAATGTTATGCCTAGTCAACCGTTCGGAAATCACGCTTTTATTTTCGTGTTGGCAACCGCACCTGAAAGAGGCTAGCAGAACCATAAATCAAACTCGTGGAAGCCCTGACAACGATCTACTAATAAAAAACACATAGAAAGTTGAAGCCTAAGTGAAGCAGTAAACCACAATACATCTGAAAGCCACGGTTGACAAAAGGGCAGAGAGATATTTCATTGCTAAACAAACTACTTGAGGAGTACAATTTTGATGTATAACCCTGAAATGGCACCTTAAACCTAAGACCCTATGCTCACACTATCAAGTTGGTTTTAAGAATGTCTTAACGCCATTTCTTAGAGCATTCTCGGCCTAAATTGAGGTATTGGTTTTCGGACACTATTTTGATTAATTAAAAAGGTAGGACCACCTTGAATATTCCATATTTCTTTGCTATTAATGCATCATCAACCATATAGAATCGTAGAAGTTAGCACAAATGACTGCACTTATACTTGATTATGTTTGTTGTTAACATTTTAACGACACTCAAAAAGCTGCCTTATTTCCCAGCGGTCTATCAAATTGACTTCGCTCAGTTCTGTGTTTTACATTTTCACGTATTCCTCTAACTAAGGACAAGTGTCTTATAATCTGACTTTCGGTCAAGAAAAAACGTAAAAGGAAAAACACAAAAAAGCACCCAAGTATGTACTGGGGTTTTGAGAGGTTACTCCGCAGGCACGAACCGTTATTTTCTAGAAAGATAGGAGTTTTGCGCCAGTTTGGACAGATTACTTAACGTGCATACCAGAAGAAAAAAAAATGTGTTTTACATTTTCACGTATTCCTCTAACTAAGGACAAGTGTCTTATAATCTGACTTTCGGTCAAGAAAAAACGTAAAAGGAAAAACACAAAAAAGCACCCAAGTATGTACTGGGGTTTTGAGAGGTTACTCCGCAGGCACGAACCGTTATTTTCTAGAAAGATAGGAGTTTTGCGCCAGTTTGGACAGATTACTTAACGTGCATACCAGAAGAAAAAAAAATGTGTTTTACATTTTCACGTATTCCTCTAACTAAGGACAAGTGTCTTATAATCTGACTTTCGGTCAAGAAAAAACGTAAAAGGAAAAACACAAAAAAGCACCCAAGTATGTACTGGGGTTTTGAGAGGTTACTCCGCAGGCACGAACCGTTATTTTCTAGAAAGATAGGAGTTTTGCGCCAGTTTGGACAGATTACTTAACGTGCATACCAGAAGAAAAAAAAATGTGTTTTACATTTTCACGTATTCCTCTAACTAAGGACAAGTGTCTTATAATCTGACTTTCGGTCAAGAAAAAACGTAAAAGGAAAAACACAAAAAAGCACCCAAGTATGTACTGGGGTTTTGAGAGGTTACTCCGCAGGCACGAACCGTTATTTTCTAGAAAGATAGGAGTTTTGCGCCAGTTTGGACAGATTACTTAACGTGCATACCAGAAGAAAAAAAAATGTGTTTTACATTTTCACGTATTCCTCTAACTAAGGACAAGTGTCTTATAATCTGACTTTCGGTCAAGAAAAAACGTAAAAGGAAAAACACAAAAAAGCACCCAAGTATGTACTGGGGTTTTGAGAGGTTACTCCGCAGGCACGAACCGTTATTTTCTAGAAAGATAGGAGTTTTGCGCCAGTTTGGACAGATTACTTAACGTGCATACCAGAAGAAAAAAAAATCAAGATAATTTAGTAAAAAAAGAAAGAGAGGGAGAAAGAGAGGAAGACGTAAATAGCTCATAACAGCCAGGTTTATAGTATTCATATTTCTAGGCAACATTAATTAAAGAACCAATGAGTACTGAATAAGTTAACATTTATAGTATTCATATTTATAGGCAACATTAATTAAAGAACCAATGAGTACTGAATAAGTTAACATAGTTGTAACAAATTAGCCCTTCGATTCGAACCGGCCTTTACTTTGTACGTTTGCCTCCTGTGGACTCTTCACGCGGAAGAACCTGTCGCTAAATATGTTCCCTTTTGTGTACTGAAAAGAGGGACTTATCGCACGATGTCTTCGTGATATGTCTATTAAATCTAACGTCATGGTTCGAACAGAATTATTTCTCGTATCCATGCGGTGCCCACTGTAAATCACAAAGTCCATTATGTTTTTCTTTACGCCTCACAAGCAAAGTACCTCGCAAAACTTAATCGAGAGCTTGTTCCATGAACGTTTAGGCACTGTGAGGTTCTCCGTGATATAGCCATGTCCATTTTTTTAACTGATTTTAAGCATGGCGGCACTATAACTGCAGGTCACGGAAGCTTTCTCTTTTGTAAAATCAGATGATCAGTATATCGTTGAGCAGTCTAATCTGTAGAAATGCCTTTATATAAATATTTGTCAGTTTAACGCGGGAGATAAACTCCATAGTGACAAAGATAGTCACTTAGGGGCCGTTATTTACACGAGGTCTAACCCAAACCACAGTTGTACTCGATCAGCAGGCTTCACGCTGTCATCGAAGAGACAGTCTGTCTCAAGTATTTTTTTTGTTTTGTTTTGTTTGTTTTTTTTTCTCTCACGCAGTTGCATCAGTGGATTCTTTTTAATTCCTTAGGAAATATTTTCAGATTTTCTGTTTATGAGTTCTGGGAGAATATTCACTCAAAGTTAAAAGGAACTTGTAGAATGCATTTAGTTTGTTTTTATGAATAGTAACCTTATTCTGAAATACTTTCTACATGATGAACAGCGACAATAATTTCCAATGGTCCGATTGACACCATTGTGGCTGAGTATCACAAAGGAGCTGATGGAGCGTTTGAACGAAACCGTTTCGTAGTGACAACAAAGTTACTCGAGCTTAAATCGCGACAAGGCTATCAATTTCTCGTTGCTTCTAAACGCACCTGGCCACTAAGATCACAAGATTTGTTTTTTGCCTTAAAAGAGGTTCCAAATTTGATTTCAGCTAAATCTTTTTCTTTTCAGCTGAATGGTCGAGGTCATGATTGTGCCTTGAGTTGGCATAGAACACTATTGTTTCGGCACAATAATGTATGCAAGACGCTGTAAGATAGATGTTGCACTAGATAACTCGCTCTACATTACAAGACAATCACTCAGTGAACAAAAGTAAATGTCTAATACACTTGAAGAAAAACCTGAAAAACGAATGCTCTACACATTATTACTTTGCACATTTTGTCAGAGTATTAAATTTGTAATTCCGTCCGTTGTTGTGTCAAATGTTATGCCTAGTCAACCGTTCGGAAATCACGCTTTTATTTTCGTGTTGGCAACCGCACCTGAAAGAGGCTAGCAGAACTATAAATCAAACTCGTGGAGGCCCCGACAACGATCTACTAATAAAAAACACATAGAAAGTTGAAGCCTAAGTGAAGCAGTAAACCACAATACATCTGAAAGCCACGGTTGACAAAAGGGCAGAGAGATATTTCATTGCTAAACAAACTACTTGAGGAGTACAATTTTGATGTATAACCCTGAAATGGCACCTTAAACCTAAGACCCTATGCTCACACTATCAAGTTGGTTGTAAGAATGACTTTACGCCATTTCGTAGACACACTATTTTGATTAATTAAAAAGGTAGGACCACCTTGAATATTCCATATTTCTTTGCTATTAATGCATCATCAATCATGTAGAATCGAAGAATTTAGCACAAATAACCGCACTTATACTTGATTTTGTTTGTTGTTGACATTTTAACGACACTCAAAAAGCTGCCTTATTTCCTAGCGGTCTATCAAATTGACTTCGCTAAGTTCTGTGTTTCACAGTTTTATGTATTTCTCTAACTAAAGACAAGTGTCTTCAATCTGACTTTCGGTCAAGAAAAAACGTAAAAGGAAAAACACAAACAAGCACCCAAATATGCACTGGGGGTTTTCAGAGGTTACTCCGCAGGCACGAAACCGCTATTTTCTAATTATTAATACATAACTGAAATTTCTTAGCAAGGGAGGAATTTAGAGCCAGTTTGGACAGGTTACTTAACGTGCATACCAGAAGAAAAAAAAAGCGAGATAATTTAGTAAAAAGAGAGGGAGCTACAAACAGCTTGGAGCATGGACATTTTAGCATTATGCGGTTCTCCGTGCTAAAATACATTATGTAATGTGATAAAGTCTCATTTCAAGGTTTCTGGTTTTATTGGCCACCGTAAAGTTTAAAGAAGGAAATATCTCAAAACAACCAGGTTTATAGTATTCATATATTCTAGGCAGCATTAGTTAAAGAACTAATGAGTACTGAAGTCAGGTTGAACTCCTAGACAAATGTTCTCTTTATTATGTGAAGGTTAATTGCGGTTCAAAGCTGTTCACGAATTTGGTGCGAAATTTAACATATTTTATCGAAGTTTGGTTCGAGTAAAGAGTAACACAATTCTCGAATCCTTCCACGCATTTTTCGTGTTTTCGCGAAGGAAATGCCTTTGAAATAATTTAGTGACAGTTTCAGCTTTCCAATCATTCTGGTAATCTCTGCCCAAATTAGCAACAGGGTTAATACCCATTGCATAGCAACAGTCACGGTTACGATCCTAACTGGTGGAAAGGTTTGCTCTGGGACTGACAGAGCATTGCGACTGTAATCATCGTCTGCTGTTTCCAAGTGTCGGCGAATATTTAGAAGAAAGAAGATTTAGCAATTAAACTTTGGATCTAAGTTCAACGTGCTTGCATAGAAGATATGTTGAAAATTTTTAGTCTTCTAGAAGACTTGCATGAAAGATTCTGCACAATGAATTCAGTTTTGCCCACGCGATATGTTAGATGATTTGACGTTTATTTGACGTTTATGGTTCAGTTGAGCTTTCAAACTGTGAATTACGCATTCATTAGCTTCTTTCCTTTGTTGGTTTTTGTTTTGTGTATTCTGCATTGCGGTTTCGTTTGTTAACTTCTTAAATAGACACAGGCAAGGGAGAGGTCATTCAGTTGAGCGCCAGTCTCAGAGAGGTAACACGACCATAAAAACATGTATTTCCTTGGAGTTCTATACACAATTTTCATTGCCTTATCTGTTCTATTTCCAGTGAGTATAAAGCCATCCATCTGCTCTCGCGATTAAATTATCTACAGGCAAGTCTCATTGCGGACCGATTGTGGAGTAAAACTAAGCTTTGGTAAGTAAGAAGGCCGTTGTTAATTTCTTTCTGTGCTCTAGTTGGAAATTTACTTCCAAGCGGTGTTTTCCAAGAAAAGATGCAAAGCTGTCCCACGAGGCAGTGAATTCCTAAATTCAACAAAAGAAGTTTTGTCAATGTTAAAGTGATACTTTCCTCGCCAATCAAAGCTTACGAATATTACTCAGAACAGTCAACCTTGGTTGCGATTTCGTGTTTCAGAGCTCAGCAAATTGCATCTTAAACGAAAGAAGTAAGATCCTTCATTATTCTATTAATGAAGCTTTTAAAGTTTATCTTGACGTTTGACGAAGCGCAATTATATGCGATCAGGTTGGTTTTTGCTCAAAACTCGTTTCAAGCTTGAATGTGCATTTTGCCTTTATCAGAGCCAGACACAATCCGCTCTACCAGATTTAGTTAAGAATGGCAACTTAACTGTCTCTTTTATTGAATTGATCTGAAATGAACTTCAGCTAGCAAGCCACCTCTTGTATTCAATCAAGTTTAAGCCTGAATGTTTCGGTCCAATTCTTCAGGCCACACCTCAGCTCGTGAATCAAGTTTTTGATTTTCTCAGTTGCCTTTTTTAATCAAGTCTTGCTGACTTCTCGAGAGACATTTTGTCGCTTAATTCTTTGCATTTCATCAGTTCGGGTTGAAAATTTTCTTTCCGTCCCTCCACTGTCAATACTCTGCAAGCGCCTCCCACTGCTGAAGGTTCGATTGTAAATAACTTAACACGGCTTTTCATTAGCACCTTTAAAATACTCAAGCCAAAAATTAGTGTGCTATTCAACGAAAAGGGCACCTCAAAGGGAAAAAGGACCAGATTTTAAACCAGCTCAACTTTACTGTTGAAGTTAGAGCCTATTGTATTCTTGTGACATACATCTAAGAGAATTCATGGATTTTGCCTGTGGCAAGTGTTTGTTCGACACTTCAAACAAACAAACAACAAAACAGTTCTAGAAGTCACGATGTGATATTGGCAGTTTCGTTCTCGTCAAATGATCACATATAATGCTATTGTGAAATAGTTTCATTCTTAACATAGTTGTAAATCATTATAAAGGAATTCTTTTTTTTATTAAAGCAAGAATCGTCCGGATAAGAAGTAATATTATAAATAGAAATCATGTTTGCTATGCTTTGAACGATAAAATTCATGCTTTTTTTTTTCGCTGTTCTTACAACCCACATTTATGTTTTTCTTTAAATTTTTTTGCTGATGTTTATCTTCATCTTGCACTTTGTTTTTTATGGTTTATTTTTGTCTACTTGATGTGTTTCTTCTTTGTCCGGCTTTTTTTCTCGTATCTCTTCCTCTTTAGTTTTTTTTCTTCATTCTGCTTCACAGCTTATCCTTTAACAATAAATCGTTTTCTATTTGCCCATGATTTCCAACAACGTTTTACAATTCTTTCATCTATTTATTTATTTATTTGTTGCCACAGATCCACGAGAACCTAATTATCAATATGAAGTGGGCAATTCTTTTGGCGACACTCATGCTTTTTTTACATCAAACTAAAGGTAACGTATTCGTCATCTTGCCTTTATTCATCTTGATTTTAAAATTACGATAACTATTTTTTTTCCCGAGGGCTTCATGAATTGACGATTATATCGAAGCATTACAAAAAGCAATTATGAAATAAAAGAATTTAAATTTGCGATTTCCTCGCCGGTTTAATTTGGATTCGTTAACATTTTATCATTATAAAGTGTCTCTTTTCTCACAACTACAACTAAATGGAATGTATTATTACCCATCATAAATGAAAGAGTTGGAGTTAAAAATTGTTTTTCACTCCCTCTCAGGTCAGACGTTGGCCTCTGTGACTTGTAACTCCAATCACACTGTGAGTATAGTGATCTCAAGCGTGGATGATGTAAAATTTTGGAACCCATCAGACTGGAGAACATCGACTAACACTACAGCGTGTCAACCAACATTTGATGTTGGTGCTGAAACAGTTACCTATGAAGCTCTATACCTCCCTGACTGTGCTTACGAGTCAAACCAGAAAGATGGAGAAGTTCAATACATCCTCAAAATCAGCGCTGAAAAGACTTCAGGTGATTCAGTGACAGGGCAGTTGCGCACTTATGACCACCTGTACTACGTCACGTGTAACTACGATAACACAGGCAGAGCTTCGGCGAATTTCGTGCCGATCAAGAACCGAGGGAATAACGACACAGGTATGCAGCTCTGGTTAAGATAATAACATGTATAATCTACATAAGTAACCTTAGTTTGAATTCCTGGAGAGTGGAGATTTCTGGAAAGCGTCTATCAAACCTTTGCCACCGAATATATCGACCAGCCTTCCTTCAGTGACTGATTCATCTCTTTGCTAAGATGTGGTGGATTTGATTTCAATTTGATATAAAAAGATAAAAAAAATTTTAAAAAAGTTGGCGGAGAAACATTTATAAGAGCCTGGCATGATTTTGAAAGACAGCCAGGCATGTGTACAAAATGCTTTCGTATTTTGTTTTGTCTTTAACGCTATGGGGCTATTAGAGCATGCTGGTCCAAAAAGAGTTGTTATCATCAACTGACCTGAAAAAATGTAGAATTTTTAGATTGTTTTTTTCGTCGATCAGTAATCTATGACTGCCAATGGAGTAGCAGTTACAGATCATTGAATAGATGTCTCAACTACACTTCATTCAGTTTGCTAGGCAGGCCTTGCATTTATCAGAACGACCAAAACCTTGAATAATGCAAATGTGTTCGCTAAAGTCTTTTGAAATTTCTTTTGCTTTGTCTTACTTTTCCTTACTCGCTTTTGTGGTCTCTTTTGTAATTTTTAGATGACGGAGTTTTCACCTTTTCTCTCATGGCGTATAGCGACGAAGCACATACTACGCCGGTTTCCAACCCTGTTGCTCTGGATGTAGAGATTTTCTTCAAAGCTTACTTCGAGACTCAAAGCAGCGCCCCCAACCTTGACTTGTACCCTGTGCGATGCTATTCATCAGAAAGCAATGATGCAGATGATACTGGTGCTAACTTTACTCTTATAAGCAACGGGTAAGAATTTCTGTGATAAAAATTTGCCCGCTAAACATGACTAATATGTAATTACGACAACAATGATAATAACAATCAATATTAATTTTATAAAATTTTAGACAGAGCAGGACCCACCTCATCGAAGAGCTCCTCAGTGAGGTCCAGCACCTCAAAAAAAGGAAATTTAAAAATATCTGACGAGGTTAAAAATGAAAATCATTTAGAAAGATGTGGATTTGAATATGGTGCCATATATGCATAAAAATGTACAAATGAACCACATCCAAAGTTCGAGTTTTAACCGTGATTTATGAGGTAGTCACATCACAACTACGTAAGTTTATTCCAATAATTAATCAATACTTCTGTGTGTGAACCGTCGTTTAACCCAGTTCGTGTTGAATTGTCTGGTATCATTATTACTCCCTGTGGTTCTTAATCTAAGTAAAAGATGGCCGCCAGTGTAGACCCCAGATAGAGTGACACTTATCTTAATTAAAAAGAATTCTGCCAGAGTTTCTGTGAGATTGTCATCTGATCAGACTGTTTATTTCTATGAGAGATATTGTCAGACTACTGATGAAACATGAGCGAGGAGTACTGTTTATTTCCAAAAGAAAAGAAGCTCCCCTTAAATAATGAAACCCACAATTTTTTTTCAGTTTCTTGCGAATAAATGGTAAGCCTTCCAAAACCCTTACTAGAACCCACCATTGAAGTTTTCGTAAGAAGCTACTCTTGTATGCTGTGTGCCTGGTATCAACTCAGTGACGAACATACAGTCGATGCTATGGATTTACCTGGATCTTGTCCATTTAGGACAAAATTTGTTACCTCAAAGAGTAAGAGGAATTTTGCTTACATTTCTTAATTATATCATTTTTTATCATTTCTTCATAGTTGTGGCAGTGATACTGTCAGCGCAGACCTCAGCGACACATTAGGATACACTTGTGTCAACGACGACACATCTGAAACATTCTCACTCAAAACTTATCGGTATTTTGGAGCAGATCCAAACGACTATGTTTACATCCACTGTGATTTCAGAGTTTGCTTGGCAGATGTAACCAGTTCCGTCTGTGAATGTCCAAATAATCCTAACACTTGCACATGATGTTACACCGGTGGGGCGTAGACGTCGTTCAATCTATGATTCGGTGGATGAGTCACAGCTTTATCGTGTTGTCTACGGTCCATTCACCTTTAAGCAAGAAGAACTGAACAAAGATGAAGGTAAATGATAATTCACAGGGCTTTTAGCCATAGGACAGGAATTTTGTTAGGTGCTTTCCACATTCTCTGCTAACCAAGACTGGTTTTCCATGATAATTGACCAAGTTACAAAAAAAGGCCGCACGGGGCAACTTGTAGAACCTATAGAAACGGAGCGAAATGTAATATCATATATCGTAATGATGACTATAGAAAATTAACGAAGGCTGAATAAGAACCTCTAGAAAGACTGTAGAAATGTTCCTTTTCATATATTCCTAGTATCTCTGCCTTTATTGATAAACACTGAACGGTTTAACATTATAATCTACTTACGCCCTCGATAGTTTAATTCAATGATTAAACCTGAAATCTATTTGCTTCATTTCAGTTGCATCTGAAGACCAAGATGAGAAGAGCCAGTCTTTCCAGACCGTAGCAATTGTTGGGGCAGTATGTGGTGTTGTGGCTGTATCTGTCATCTGCGCTACCGTCTACCTCGTCATTCGCTATCGCAGCAAGCGCACGCAAAGTGGTGATCTGCACGTGGTCACCTAAACTCCAAACAAGTTGTGTTGTGCAAACGCGCGAATATTACGTTTTTTAATCCAAGATCAATTTGAATGGTGTGACATATGAAGCAACTCGATAGGGTTAAGTTGAGGTGTGGATGTTGATTAGGACATAAAATTTCTTTTTTTTTTCAAACGAATAAATGATTAATCGGCTTTTTTCTTTAGATGATGGTAGGAATCAGAAGCATTTGCAAAGTTAATCGAATTTATGTCTTGACTTAAGTTTCAAGGTTGATTTGATTAGCTATAACAATGAAGTCGTTGTATTCCTATATCTGCTTGTCACACTTATGTGCGCGATCCAGATTAACAACCAGTTTTAATCTCTCATTGTTTTAACACCTTATAAACTTGCACACAAGCCTTATAGACAACGTTAAGTTCACACACAATTTCAGACATTGTGAGGAAATTTATTACGTATGACAAACTTTACACTCTATATGCAGCAAAGCAACGGCAGCGTTGTGATTTTGCTTACGTTTATATGATATCTAACCGAATGCTAGCCATAGTAAATATACCCAAGTCGCATGCGGGCCTGGTTGCTTTCCCGTTGAACTGGCTTAAGCCTTGTCAGTGAGGCACCTGTACCAGTCTAATTTTTTTACTATTTTTAGAAATTTTGAGTAGCATCGTAATAAAATGTAGGCACCGTGATGAATTTATTACAAAACCTTTGTGGTTTTTTCTTTTTGTGAATATTTGTGTTCTAAAGAACAGGATGGGCATCTTTTTTTTTTATCTGTTTAATGAAGGGAATTTTCACTTCACTCTCGTGGCATATGAGGACCCATTACTTTCTCCAGTGATTCCCAACGCTGTAAAGTTGGATACTAAAATTTTATTCAATGCGGAGGCTTCGATCCAAAGCCCCACACCCAGTTCACCCCTCTACCCTCTGACTGGCTCGCATTTTCATAACCAAGCGAGTTTGATTCGTTAGATTTTTATAAGTTAAATCGATTGCTTTGTTATAACCACTTCAAATATTCTTTCTCAACTCATTTAGTGTCAAGCTTGTTTTCCGATCTAAATTCAGATCAGTTAAGTCGTACTACGCAGGGGTCAACAATTGGGCATGCGCAAGGGATCTATTTCGGCCGGCTACGCCGGGGGGACCTCACAAAACAATTGTTGTCCTGCAAAATGTGCGAAAGAAATTGAAATTTTATCAGAAATCTTTAAAAGTATGAAAAAAAAAGAAAACTCGAGTTTTTTCAGGCAGTGAGGTTATTCAATTACGGGATCCTGTGGATTACCATTTTGTTTTGAAATTGTGTCTGCACAAAATAATGCCGGAACCAAATGGCTTCAACGTTTCGCTTTTTCAGCGCAATAATGCGGTAAAGAATTCGAAGTGTATGGCATCACAAAGTATTGAAAACTTTTGATGATTTGAAAATATTGTTTTTCGCGTTCTGATTTTTCAATCAATTGTGCCCTTCAAAGAAAGCCAAGATATTTGATTGACATACAAGTGTTCTCAGTCAATTAGAATGTTCCGTTTGCAATTTGTTTGGGAAAAATTCAAACACCTTCCTCCCTTCTTTCCCCAATGGCCAAATGCTCAACGTTTCCGAGACATTGTCTAACAGAGAATATGGCATGAGGTACCTACATCACAGATGACGCAGCTCAGAAAATTCAAGCGTGAATTTCATATAGAACAGATTTTCAAAATAGAGTCCAAAACAGTGTACGAGTAATTGAAGCGCAATGATTTCCCTTGAAAGGTCGTAACTGACTGGAAGTTTATTATTTATTTCGCTTAATTGATGAAGGAAATATATGTAGACAAAAACTGAAAAACAATTTAAGAGGAGAATTAATCAATAGTAAGATGCGAATTGTCTAAACTGTATATACTGAAAATTTCAAGGTCATGTCGCCTAGAAAATCGAAAAAATGATAGGCGTAAGGCTACTTTAAAATGCAGGAGCTACAGGTTAAAATATTCTCGCAGTTTAAGGCGTTTTGATGACTTCCCCCCCCCCCTCCATTTCTTCTGTGCATGTTTCGGTGTGATATTTCGGTTAAATCGACACAGTCACAACTACTTAACTATATGAGATAAATTCCTACTGTGCTTCATGTGCTTCATCAAAGGGGTTCTGATCGAAATTCGGTGTCCGTGAAGCGTAGTTGTTTGTGAAGTTGCGTACTTGCATATAACTGTTGCCTAGAGACGAAGGTTCGAGAGAAGACCTAAGAAGTCTTGATTCGCTTTGATAGTGGCAAGATATTTTAAAAACGTGGGATCAAAGAGGCGGAACGCACCAAAGCGTAGCGGTTACAGGCTCAAGCAAAGAACCACAGCGGAAGTTTGCAGGCGACCCTGTTGTAATCAACGAAATTTCAATTTCTTCGAAAACTTTAGCATCTCACACGGACAACGGTGAGTGCCTGATTCATGTTTTAGACCGTCCATAAAATAATTATTTAAACATATCGAAAACAAAATTTGCCTTCGTCAAATAGAACCGCCTTGCGTGCAAACAATACGTTCTCAACAAATTTTTTCCTCTCGTTTCTTTTACTTTCGTTGCCAAGTTTTCGATAGCCAGAGCACGAGAAGGTGTGGATTATGAGTCGTTTTACAGTCAGCAGCCTTGCATCTTTGTGATAAACGAAAATGTTATTTATCATCTCCATTCGTCATGCGAAATACCATGGACGTTTAATTTGCATTCAAATAAGCTATCGGCAAGAGAGCATCAATTGATGCTGTGTTTAAAGATACTTTTAACGCAATATCATGAATAGAAAAACCAATAAAGACAACTGCAAATGAATTGTAGCGATTTCTAGCGTTCCATTTGTTCTATTTGCAGTCATAAATTCTTGAAACTTGATTACAAACAAGTGAAATGTCCTTTCGTGTTTATAACAATTAATTACGTTCCAATGGCTGATTTTTTCGCTCTCGAATGAAAATGATCCAATCGAAAAACAATTTATAAACTGGTAATTGCACAGTGTACCGATTCGAACCAAACGTAAATATTGTATTTCTGTACAAAGTTTAGATCAAGTTGAAGTAAAACAGATTAGATTTCACATCACTTGCACAATGCACAACAAATACTTAGACTTTAAAAGAACGCTGCATCCAGTATTTTCTTTACACAGATATGTCGAGAGAATACAAAACATGTCATATCTTTGATTATTATCACTATTTCGGGCATTTTGGTGCATTTTGCAGGATGAAATAGAGATGTTGACGTTTAAATGTTCGTAAATTGCTCGGCTAGAATGACTCTCAGTCGGGGCCAAATTTTATAAGTTCACAATACACTGGCCATGTTTTAGCACACACACAAAGAACGAAGAAATCCAGAATTTTCCTTTTTCATCCTTTCTTTCGCTCTTGAACTAAATTATTACGACAAATAACTTTGGATTCAAGAATTTCTTTCGTTCTTATTTAGACACTTTGACTGACATTCCTTAACTTTAACTTCATAAGTTGGGTAAAACCACCAAGAGAAGGCTGAACTCTACGTCAAAATGGCTTGGCAGTGGATTTTACTCTCTCTCGTGACGTTCGCTTTACTGTTTGACGTCAGAGTTAAAGGTGAGACAGACTTCAGTTTTTTCCACAAATATAATCCCTTATGAAATATTTCATTCACAATCAAAGAATAATTAAGTGAGACCTGACTCTGAGTCAACTAGACCATTACCCGGGGTCTTGTTCGGTCTATTCCGCGATTCTTGACAAGCCTAAAACTGGCAAACACTTACTGAGAATTGTTTAGTCGACACGTTTACAAAACTTGCACGCGACGAAATAGAGGTTCTCAAACTTTACGGTTCGAATAAAGTTATTAAAAGAATCAGAACTTTATTGACACTATCTTGTACAGATATGACACTACAAACTTAATGTGAAATCACTGTTCACCAGTATTCCACTTATTGGCTCTACAGTGTACTGAAACGCCATCCAACAGTCTACTGATGCACTACCATTACCGACAGAAGACATTATGGACCTACTTAACCTCTGCCTTACATCGACTTACTTTCAGTACAACGGGAAACACTACAAGCAGTTGCACGGAACAGCTACGGGGTCGCCGGTCTCCGTTGTGTTGATGCAAAACATCGAGGAATTCAACTTACGACAAACCATACCATTACGTTGACGACACATTTAGCCGTACACAAAGACGAAATTGACGTTTTTCACAATCACCTTAACGAACAAAACACCGACATTCAGTTTACCAGGGAGATCGAAGAAGACGGCAAGCTTCCTTTTCTCGACTGTTTGACGAACTACGAACAACAATACGACGCATACCGACAGACTTCTTGACGAATCATCCTACAACCCGACTTCCCACAAAGCTACGACCATCAAGACATTGACAAGACGAGCGCAACTTGTTTGCAACACACCGGACAGTTTATCTGACGAAAACAAATACCTTGACCGTGTTTTTGACAAAAACAACTACAACACTGACTTCATTAGACGAAACACTCACAGAGTTACCGAAACTACAGAAACTAACAGGGACTCCACATCTATCACGACTACAGCTGCTATACCCTACATCAAAGGCACTTCTGAGGCTATCGCGCGGATATACAACATTCGCGTAGCTCACAGGCCTATTACTACTTTGCGACATTTGCTGACCAACGTTAAAGACAAAGACGAACCCAACAAAAGATAGGGGGCGATTTATAAGATCGAATGCTCCGACTGCCAGGCCTCCTACATTGGTGAGACTGGTAGAAACCTTAACCAGCGACTAACTGAACACAAATGCAACTAGAAATGGCGATGTAAACAATCACATTTCTGAACATCACCGACAAACTAATCACAGAATCGACTGGGACTCTGCTAAATGCTTAACCTACAGTACATTTCAACGACTGACTCTGGAAAGCTGGTTCACTAACTTAGAACAGACGCCTCTCAACAGATGTCAACAATTACCAGCACCTTACAAACGACTCATTAACGACGTGAACAAACCGACAAACAGACCGACAAACAACAGACGGATCGAAACCGACCAATGACTGTTAACAAACTCTACACGAGTCTTCCAGCCAATCACATCACGGCTAAACAGACCAATCACGTTCAACAAACCAGACTTTATAACATCATCGACTGACAACTACTCCTCACTTGACTCTGAAGATGACTATCGCACAGATAGTCGAAACGTCAGTCACCAACAACAGTTCTTTTCAGAACTACACTCACCCGGACGATCACACTACCCGAATTACTGATACTCCTGGGTTCAAACCATTTACTTTACTATCAATCTTTTCTTAGAAATGTAAAACCTCAGTCCAACGCTTTACGTATCTTCTTACTTTTTGTCTTCAGGCATGTCAACGAGTTCAATTGTCTGCAATGCTAACCACACAGTAACTATAACCATTACAAATGTAACTGACATCGATGCATTCAACGAAAGCGATTGGCGAATAGATAACAAAACAGAATGTGAGCCGACATTCATGGACACGACGGTCACGTATACCAATTTGCAAGTGGCTGATTGCGCTTCAATTTCCGAAGATAAGAGCACTTCTATCAGATACGTTTTCGAGATCCGTGCAGTTGTTCCGGGCAGCAGTCCGATCCAGGCCTTTGATCACGTGATTGACGCCGTGTGTGAGTACGTCAATAATGGCAATGTCACATCCAGCTTCATACCTTTAGTGAATCGTGGCGATAACTCGTCAGGTATGTCGTGTTAGCTTGAGTAAAGTATACACCTGTAAAGAAACTGAAGCGTGTTTTGCGGTACATTAGATGCAAAATTATAACACCTTCGTTATGTAGCCAAAAATAAAATTTGCAGAAGTTCCATGTTGAGATTTTATCAGGTATATACTAGATTATGCACAGAAATTTTAAGCAGACGTTGTGTGTGAATGAAATGTGAAGATTCAACTCATTTAAGCCTCACTCTGTGCAGAACTAATATTTGTTACTTTCTTAATCAGATTCTGCAGCTTTTACATTCAGCCTTGACGTTTTTGAGAACTCTGAGCTTACCATTCCTCTTCCCAGCGAAGTGAAGCTCAATCAACCATTGTTTTTCCGAGCTCAAGTGGAAACATCAAGCGCTGCACCAAACCTGGACCTCTTCATCTTGCAATGTAATGCGTCAAAGTCGAACGACGCAAATGTTCCGGGCCACGATGTAGTCCTTATTCAAAATGGGTTGGTACCTTCTTGAAGTTTCCCGAAACAAAAGCATAATGTATTTTATCATCTACACCTCTAAAAAGTATGAAAATCCACAGAGAAACCTGAACTTTCAAGAACCGTCTCCAATGGAAATTGAACTTAAACAAAGGACGCGGCCATTTTGAATCTTTCATAGCCGCCTGACCGCTAACCTGCGACGGAACAAAGTTTTACACAGCCTTCTTCTATCCACTCAGGATCAGTTTTAATAACAAGGCCTTACATAAAAAAAGCATTGTTGAATCTAATAATTACTTGAATGCGAAAACCGGCGCAGCGGCTGATTGGGAATGCAATCATGTGAAGTCACGTTGCTGAGTTGTTTTCAAAATGGCGGCGCTTAAGTCAAGCTTTTTTTTTTCATTTTATTTTTTCAATTTTGGGCAGGTTAGTATTTCTCATCCCTAATATCATTAAGGCCATTCTTTTCATCTTGGATTCAGATGTGGTAACGATACTGTCAGTCAAGACGCAGGTGACACTTTGAATTACACCTGCGCAGTCGACAGCACGCAGGAAACCTTTCAAGTGAATTCTTTCCGGTACTTTGGAGCTGAAGCCAACACTTTGGTCTATGTGCATTGCGATCTTAAGGTGTGCCTTGCAGATGCTGCGGATTCTGCATGTGAATGCCCGTCTTTGGCTGATTGCAACCCTAATGCTCGAAAACGGCGAGCAGTTGAAGTTGATGAATCTGTGGTGTATCGCGTCACGATTGGTCCTTATTATTACAAGAAGGTAGAGAGAGACGACAAAGGTGAGTTAGTTTTCATGACATCACGTTTGATGCTGTTTTGCCCTCATATGGTGGTTCACTTTTCTAGAGCGTGGGACACCAAAAAATTATGAATCGCCTTTAGGGATTGAAACCTTAGATTCTCAGCCAATTTTTTTAGTCGAAGGGGTCACACGCCTTTGCCTGGCATATTTCATATTAAGAAGCCATAAAGTCTTGCTAAAACATGGATGAATTCTTTCCTCACAACATTCCTTTTTTTATTTTGTAATCAGATCACAACGACAAGAAACCTGAAACAAGCGAAGACAACTCTTCATTTCAACTCAGTTTAAGCGTTGCCATAGTTTTCTCAGTCAGTGGTGTCATCATAGTATCAATTATATCCCTTACCGTGTGCTTCATTTCGCGCGGACGTCACCAGCGTTCTTCAATCACCGAGTTGAACAAGTGACTTGATCACAGTGTGAAAACGTAAATGCCTCAGAGCCTTTCCCTCAAACTTTTTATGTCATAATATGAAGCATAAATCAATTTTTAGAGAATTACTACCTGGGTTCAATCTTTGTCGTTTTCACTGCAACGAGAATTATGCACGATCAATTTTAAATGATGGTATTCTTTTTCTTTATGGCCATTGATATCCCAAAGATGTGCACTCTGCTAAAGCTATAGTATTATATCCATTCTTGTCAGGATTTGCTGCTTAATCTTTGGGTTGAAAATATCTCGTAAAGTCCCACATAGGATTTAGAGAAAATGGGGACAAAACTGAAAGGAAAGACGACAATAAGATGTTTATATTTGACCCTCATAGAATTAATGTTAGCCTCCTCAAAGGTTCACCAAATGATGATGCAGTTTCGTTCAACCATCGGAAAGATAGTGGTCTTAAATATTATCCAAAGGAATTAACTATGTCCTTTCTTTAGACTTCACGATCAGGGTCAGGTTTATTAGTCAGGCCGGTTAGTTTCAAGACCAAAATGTTACAATATAAAGCTTCAACACCTATATTAAGTAATTTACACCAGCTTCCGCTGCCCCAATTTACCAGTGGGAGATAATAACATTACCACCAAAATATTTTGGTTTACGATTATAAAATAAAAGACAAAAGACATGTTTTTTATCCATTTTGTTGTTGATGTTTTTGATAGTTTTCTCTTCACTTGTTTTCTTGCTTTTTCGATTGTCGCGGTTTTTTTTCTTATTTGTTTGGTTTTTGTTTTGTTCCTGTTGCTTTTGTTTTCATTCGGTTTATTCTGGTAACATTTTAGATACAGCCCTGGCTTTCCCCCCACAAAAAAGCTCTCTAGGAATATGATTTTCATTATTTCTGCTACGCTATTTTCTTTTCTTTTTTCCGATTAGGGTAAACGTTTTACAAGGATTTAACGCTTGTTCCAAAATTAAAGACTTTCAAAACCCTTTCACTCCAGTGGTGATCAGTAATAACATCTCCTGGCATCTCTAATATCTTGACAACAATACCAGTCTTGGAAACTGAGAACGTTACCATATCAACTAAATTATATTTGCCGAACAAAAACACAGATTCTCGGGATTCCGAAAAAAAAGTTGTTCGCAATCAGTGGACTCATCAAGAAGAACTAGTGTTTTCATGATCTAGACTGGTTGTCAGTCTTCTGTTAACTTGCTGATATAATGGGAACGATCAATCACAGCTTACGTGGAATTTTAGTTCAGAATGCACTTTTTTTTCCTCCGCCACAAAATGGAAGAATTGCGCAATAGTACCCAGAGGTCATTGGGCCCTCAACACCATGACAACTAACTGTGATCCAATGAGGTGTTCACATGCTGATCACGCGTGTTATCTTGATGATGATTGACGTTGTCATGCACAGACAGGGCCGGGTCACATGACGAATCACGAGATTTTGCTTATAAAACTCTTTGGTCAGTTGTTTTGTATTTCAACGTATTTGGATTGCGATCTCCTGGTGTATTATGGCGCAAACGCGCAAAATACTTACAGACGCATATACAAGTCGTATTATTCGCGGCTAATCCACATTGAAAGATGTTATTGAGCGTTAATTTTGGAACGGATTGAGTCGCGAACGCTTGAAAGCCATGAAAGCCTTGAATGCCTTGTATGTTAAGTATGCCAATGTCTTAGTTGAAAAACGTTCACTTGTTGTAAAAAGCAAAATCTGAAATCTGAAACCAAACTGCATATACTCTATGCAATCTATTGAACAACACTACTACCGTGAGACTGAAGTACATAACTATAATGGATGCAAACTGCTTGTGAAGAAAGACGACATGTTGGATTCACTTGATGGCAAGGAACGTAGCTACGATAACAGTACGAATAGTATTAATTTCACGATCAGAAAGGTGAATCTTATGTTTGTTTTTATTGTAGTTGTATGGATATTCTCTTTTAATAAATACGTGATCCAAAACCCAGTGTTTTTTTGTGTATAATGTTATTATGTTAAATATTGTTTACGCAATTGTCTTGTCACAGGCGGCCCAAGCTCACGTCTCGAGAAAAAGCCAACGATTAATTCAGGAACGCGTCACGCGTTGTGTGACTCGGTGTTAAGTTACGAGAGGAACTGCACGTTATAAGGAATAGTATAGGGAACTAAGTATGGTCGATTTACAACGATACATATTTCGAAATATGAACATTTTTCTCGTAAAATCAATAAAAATTACTCATACCCTGTGTATCCGTTGTATTTTCTAGCGATTTCTGCCGTTTTAAGCTTGCTTTACCATCACTGTTATTCACGTCATCTACTTTTATTACGTTGGTAAAATCTGCACAGACATCACACCAACCAACTCGCGCGCAAAGTAAGAAGACTATATTGAAGGTTTGAAATAATATTGCGATCTATTTTCATCAAGAAATGGGCCAGGAATATTCCACAATAGTGCAAATAATCGTGAAGGCGGATCGCAGAAAAGCGATTGCGTGACGCTCGGTAAGCTGTAAGATGTAGACATGTTATTATATACCAGACGTAAAAACTCTTCAGATTCTTAGTCTACATTTTGTACCCACTCTGCGGTCTGCAGTCTATATTTTGTATCCGGTCTGCAGTCTGCTGTCTGCATTTTGTACTAACAGGTATCCGTGGCACCAATACAGTTTATTTTTGGTTACAGTTATTCGCAAAACACACATAATCTACCACAAAATACCTGTGAGTGAGGTGATTCGACATTTTCGTTCTTTCCCACATTAATATTCTTCTCTCCTTTTGTAAGAATGTAGACATCACTCACAATGTTTCAAGTAATCCACCCACCCTACAAAAAAGTAACTCTTGTATGCATAGCATGCCTATGTTTTGAAATAGGTGTATGCCCTTGGCCAGACTTGAGCGCACTATTTCGGTATACTAGTCCGACACCCGTAGTATCACTACACTTGATTCCAAGGATCTAGTACCATCCAGGTATCCCAGTTACCCTGCTCACAGGGTCTAGTATTTACAAAACAACACGCATACTCTCTGAAACAATTCTTGCAGTTTCTCCTGAGATTTAGTATACGGAACCCGATGAACTAACCCTCCTTTCTGGAAATTTGTTTCCGTCACTAATGATGTTACGCTCTTATGGACCACAACGGTTTTGAGCGACAAACTCGACATTTCCCTGCGACCATCAAAATCAACAGGACAAACCCAGCTTGATGTGTTGCGTGACGTGATTGTGGAAACTTTTCTCTTTGTCATACGACCTGTTTCGCAGGTTCTACAAGTTGGAACCAAAATTAGTTAATGTAACGAATTAGAATTGAAAGTTATTCAAATGGACTGAAGAATTTTATATTTTAATGAGAATTTTATCGTTTAAATGTTTACTTGATTCATGGAAGGCAAAGATTGGAGTGGCTTTGGGTATTTCAGCTCTAATTTGGAAAAAATAATACAGTTAGGAGTATGTTCTAAACACCAGAACACCTGAGAGGACACTGGAAATGTAATAAAAGCATTTTTTAGCATCCATAGCAAAAAGAAGAATGTGAGGTAGTGGAAGGAGACTGAGTTTTCAACGCCATTTGTCGTAAAAGCTGCCACCAGCTTGTTATTGAACTCACTAAAAAATTTACCTAGATGGTATTAACTTTCTTTTGTCGCGAAACTCGTGGATTTTAAAACTTTGAAACGACGTACGATGAATCCTGAAATTGGAATTTGAGTCTATTGGCAAACTATGCCTGCTGGTCTCATGAGCAGATCAAGCTCTGACGAAATTTGACAGTTTTGAAGTTTTAAGCGGATGCAAAATTCGAAAATAAAATTCGTCAGGACACAATTTGTCCTTTGATTTTGTCAAGAGAATTCTGGTTTTTTCTGCTATTGCAGATAGCCCAGATAGGCACTTGCGAACCAATTTTTAGTTAAATAATAGCCTTCACTCTCGAGAAATTGCAAATATATTACCCATGTGATCCGACTACAACTTTAATTCCGAAAACTTCAAAAACATCTCTAGTCAGTCTGGCTTTTTTTTACTGCCTTACATTTTCCCTTGTGCTGTGGCTATTAATAAGTACTTTCACCGCATTTCCAATGTTTCTTAAAGTGCTCGGATGTTTAAAACATACCATTAACTGTTATATTTTTTCCATGATATCGTGGTCAAAATGACCGGAACGAAACAAAATTAACTTGTAATCGAGGATTTCGCTGGATAGCTGGTAGTACTTTAAATAACTCGATACGTCGTCCCGGGTGTCCTAACGGATTTGGACCCCCCTAGATTTGGACCCCCAACAAAACTGAGTAAAAACATCATCCTTGACGTTCTAGTAGAATTACTTTAAGTTCCAGTGCGTACTAAAGTATGTTTTCGATTCAAAACATGCAACTGGCGGCTGGAAATGATCCTTTCCGCGATAGTCGAACACCGCTAGATTCAATAAGAGACAAACTTTTGACACCAATTTATTTTGTTATTGTTCAATGCCCGAGTGTTGGGACGACATGGTGCAGTACGAGTTGTGCGAGAAATGGTTGCACATGAGCTGCGAGGGATATAAGACTGCCTTGGAGGGCGAGTGACTCTGCATTGTCAGCAGACTTCCCGGCTCTAGACGTCTTCGTAATTGTTAAGGTGCTATTTCGGATCCCTCAACGGTTAATATTCGTTGAAATTAACTATAGAAAATAAGATTGAGTTTGATGTAATAGTTAACACTTTTGTTGGGACGTAGACATTAATGTTGATTTGCCTTTGAAAACAAGCTGAGAGTTCCAATATAGGCTTATAATAATAAGCTTCAGAAAAGAAACATTTTTACTTACCATAGGCTTTGCGAACAACTTTTAGTAGGAGTTGTTACTTCGTTCTTGTTAAGAAACTGTTTAATGTTATTTAATTAGAAAATCAGACTGAGTTATTTTTGTGACTGGATGCAACAGTCTCCACTAATGTTATGACGTTTCGTATTAATGTTGATTCGCATCAGAAGAAGCAAAGATTTACTGGAACAATTTCAAGAGTTCGAATGCAGCAGTTTGTTCGCATTCAATTCTTGCGTATACCGTACGACTCGCTATAATAAATGCGGTAGAATTGGAACGAAATGGCTGTTTTTCTTTACCTTTAATGCGGCAGAATTAGAACGAAATGGTTGTTTTTCTTTACCTTAACTGAGGAATGTTGTGTTGTGATAGGAAAGAACATCGGCAAAAAAGCTTCCAAATAGAATTAGTGACCAAGTATAATACAAAAGATGCTTAAAAGGAACGTTTGGTAGGGAGGTTCCAAATCTGCGAAGGAGGGGTCCATATCCACTGTGACACCGGTATTCCAGGAGCGAAATCAGGGCTTAAATACCCAAAGCCACTCCAATCTTTGCTTTGCATGAATAAAGTCAACCTTTTTAAAAGTTAAAATTCTCATTAAAATGTAATTAAGTCCAATTTAAATAACTTTCGATTCTAACTCGTTATTCTAATTAATTTTGGTTTCAAATACGGCAAGGGGAAAAATTTGCACAATCACGTCACGCAATTTATCAAGCTGGGATTGTCCAGGTGATTTTGATGGTCGCAGGGAAATGTCGAGTTTGTCACTCAAAACCGTCGTGGCTCATAAGAGCGTAACATCATTAGTGATGGAAACAAACAT